GAAATTCCACTTCTAGAGAGTCCCAGAAATCCCACTTCTAGATAGTCCCTGGAAATTCCACTTCTAGATAGTCCCCGAAAATCCCACTTCTAGAGAGTCCCAGAAATTCCACTTCTAGAGAGTCTCAGAAATTCCACTCTAGATAGTCCCAGAAAGCTTGAGAGTAGAACTTGAGGAGTCTGTTGATGGCCACAGCAGCACTGTTCACAGTGGGAATGGTTAGAAACGGGCAAGGGCTGTAGCTCAGTCATCCATTAGCTGTCGAGCACATGTGAGGCCCTGGGTTCCATCCCTAGGACTGAGGACGAAGGTGGGAGAAGAGAGGAAAAGTAGAGGAGCAGCCCAAGTCCATTATAGCTATAGTCAGATAAACAGAAAAGTGCTATCTATCTACAGAGTGCTATTAATCACTGTTTTAAAAAAAAAGAAGAAGAAGAAGGTAAGACTCACGCTACAACATAGTTGAACCTTGAAAACTTTATGCTAGGTAAAAAAGAAGCCAGATACGTCAAAGTACATCATTGTGCAATCCCACTATAGGAAATGTCCAATAAAGAAAATCTATAAAGAGAACAGATTAGTGACATTCAGGATCTGAGGGAGAGCTGCTAAATCCAAGGTTCTGAGAGCAGGGTCGAGTTCTTTCCTTGCATGGACAAGGCTCTGGGTTTCATCCCCAGCAACCACAAAACAATGAACCATTAATTAGCCATTTAAGCCAGATGTGGTACTCATGCTGGTAATCCAAGCCCTCAGGAGATTTAGGCAGGAGGACTGCCCTGAGTTCCAAGCCAATGTGGATTACAAAGTAAATCCCTGCCTCAGAACAAACAAACATCCAGCAGGGCACAGTGGGTCACCCTGTGATCCAACACTCCGAAGACAGTCAGGAGAAGGACACAGACTTAAGCGCTGGGTGAGATCTTGTCTCAAAAGATAATTAAATGAATAAAGTAAAGTGAGGACCGAACTAGGAATCTTGAGAATCCGTGTGAAGCAGAATGCAGCAGTCCAAGCTTCTGTAATCCCAGTTTTGTCACAAGAAGAAGGGACACAGAGACAGGAGCATCTCAGAGGCTTGTGGACCAGTTAGGCTGGTGTGTGCAGCAGAAAAACAACGACTAGACTTTGTATCAAAGAAGGCGGAAGACAAGGACCAGCCATGAGGTTGTTCTCTGACCACTGTGGCACACTGTGGCATGTATCCATCGTATTCACAAGCCCAAATGTGTATACACACACACGAACACATAGACACTCACACGCATACATAGACACGTACACATGCACACACACACAGACACACACACACACATAGACACACACACATACATAGACACATACACATGCACACATAGACACACCCACACACATCGTAGACACACACATACACAGACACACCCACACACATATACAGACACATACACATACACAGACACACCCACACACATACACACCCACGCACATCACAGACACACCCACGCACATACACAGACACACCCACACGCATACATAGACACACCTACACACATTACAGACACACCCACGCGCATACACAGACACACCCACGCGCATACACAGACACACCCACATGCATACAGACACACCCACATGTATACACAAATTCACCCACGCGCATACACAGACACACCCACACAGATACCCACATACTGCATTGGTTAGGGTTTTGTTGGTGGTGTTATCATTTTGTAACTTGACATAGAGTCACTCATGGACTCTCAGTTGAGAAATGCCACCATCAAACTGGCCTGTAGGTAAGTCTGGGGGGTAATTTTTGGATGAATAATTGATGCCAGGGAGAGCCAGTCACTGTGGTGGCCATCGCTGGGCAGGTGCTTCTGGTTCTGGTTAGCTTAGCCAAGAAGCTAAGCTAGAGCGATGGACGATTCATCATTAAGAGCACTGGCTGCTCTTCCAGAGGACCCAAGTTTGATTCCCAGCATCCACATTGTAGCTAACACGCATCTGTAACTCCAGCTCCAGGTGACAGTTTCTTATGGCCCCTGTGTACATACATGCAAGTAAAACCTCCATACACATTAAAAAAATAAATCTAAAAGGCAAGCTGAGTGAGTCATGGTGAGCAGCATCACTCATCCATGGCCTATGCTCTGGTTCCTGCCCCCAGGTTCCTGCCCCCAGGTTCCTGCCCCCTGTTCCTGCCCTGCTTGAGTTCCTGCTTGGCTTCTCTTAATGATGGACTGTGATCAGGACATCTAAGCCAAATGGGTCATTCCCTCCCTAGGTTGGATTTGGTCAGTGTTTTATCACAGCAATAAAAATCAAACCAAGCTAAGTGATGGTGGTGCACGTCTTTAATCCCAGCACTCAGGAGGCAGAGGCAGGCGGATCTCTGTGAATTTGAAGCCAGCCTGGTCTATAGAGCGGGTTCCAGGACAGCTAGCACTGTTATACAGAGAAACCCTGTCTTGAAAAACAAAATAAACAAACAAAAAAAGGTCAAACCAAGATGCATACATATATGCATATATAAATGCATACATACACATATATTAAATATAAACACATGCATGTGCACAAACACACATATACACTCACAGGGGGGGGGAAAGCAGTAAAGATTCAGGAATCACCTGGCACCGGTTTGTCGAGGTGCTTAGTGGCTTTCTTTCAGGAGGCTGAACTGTTCTAAAATTGGACAGTGCTGATAGCTGGTTGTACAGCTTTTAAATATGTCAAAAACCAGTGGGTTGTATGCTTTAGGGTCCAGCCTTTGACCATGGGTTGCAACCCCATATGGGGTTGCATAACAGAAGATGGGGCAACGGGAAGAGGTTTCTGATCAAAATTAATTTAACGGTCAGCAAGAGGGCCTGGCGGGTGCAGGTCCATGCCACCAGCCTGGTCCTGAGTTTCATCTCTGGGCTCCACATGGTGGAAGGAGAGAACTGGCTCCAACAACTTATCCTCTGACCTCACTCCCGCACTATTGGCACATGCACACCACATGCACACACGGAGAACAAATAAATAAAATTGAAATAAAAGTTTTCTCTTGAAAACTTAGAAAATCAAACACACAATGCACCCAAGGTGCATCTGGTGGTCGTCACCCACTGCCCATGCTGCATCCTGCAAGTTCACTGCAGCCTTGATCCTAAGCACACACACACA